GATATAAACTATAAGAAAATGACACAAAAATGAAATAACACGATATAATTTGTTGTCGTATATGGTTTTATTTCTAAAATTTATGTGTCCAATATATATATATATATATGTACAAATATTTATATATTTTTTATGATATTTTAAATTGACATGAATTAAAAATCAAATATAGAAAAGAAGGAAAATTTTAAACGAATTATAATTAAGTATCAAAATTTCCAAATTTGCTACCTTTATTAAATACGGCAAGCCACAGACAAAGGCCATATTTGGGACAAAACAAAAACTCACATAAATAATTGGCCTATTATTAAAGAAATCTAATCTTGATATTTATAACAGATGTAACTATTTTTTTAAAAGCAATGCCATATTTTGGTTGGAGCATAACTATATTTTTGAAGTTCAGTCTATGCCATTTGCTAAGGGTCCGTTTGATAAGGGCATTTTGGTAATCTTTCCGTTTCTGTTTTATGTTTTCCTTTTTTGAATGGAGAAAAGTAGGATTCTACGTCTTCAACATGACCTATGGATTCAAGAACGATAAAATTACTGCATTTTTATTTATGTTTTGGAACAAATTAAAAATAGAAACAAAAAACAAAAAACTTAGGGCTCGTTTGGTAACGTTCATGTTTCTAATTTTCTTAAGAAATATAAACATTTTGCAACTAATTACGTTTCTTGTTTCTACTTTTTTTTTGGAATATTCTCAAAATTGTATAGAAGTTTTGGAAATAACCAAAACAAGTTTTTTCTTGTTTCCATTTATAATTTGTCCCAAAACACAAATAGAAAGATTGTTTTTTCATACTTGAATTCATGGATGTTGTGATCATGCAATTCAATTTTCTTTATTTAAAATGAAAAAGCAGAAACAAGAAACAACGACGTTACCAAACATACTCTTATTTTGGTTGTTTATAAAATTTCTATATAATTTTATTTTTTAATAAAAAATAGGTTATTGTTTTTCGTTTCTTGTTTTTTTCTTCTTTTTGAAAAAGAAAGTTGCAACATCTTAGTAACCAATTTTAAATTGAAAAAAATAAAAATTTTATATGAAAATTACAATTTTAAGTTAAATATTCCAAATTTGTATGTTGTTATTATATATAAATATATATGTTTTGATACTTGTAATAATACTTTTACTATGCATTTGAAAAAAACTAGAAACATAGTACGAGAAATAAAAGATTTAGCTTTATTTTTTTTCAAATTTCTACGCTATTTTAAAAGTGTATTTGTTTTAAAAAAAAAGAGAGAGACAATAACGTTACCAAATATTTATTTATTTTTTTTAACTAAAAAATTTAAAAACCTTAACAAAATAATAAAAAACTCCACTCCAGCTTTATAGCTAACGCCCATTATTTATTGGGTTTGGATGCAGGCCAATTTATTTATTTTATTAAAAGAATACCAAATAATAAAAAGTAAAAGGTATCAAACCGAATTTAGCTCAAGTGGTTAAAACACCTATCTCTGACTTAGAAGTCAATGAGTTCGAACTCCCACCCTCACATGTTGTATAAAAAAAAGTAATTAAATGTATCCGCAAATTTTTTTTTTAATTTATCTTTAAACCAGAGACAATTGACAAAATTTAGAGCCTATGATCTCACGATGAGGTAGGATGGGTATTCTTTCTTTTAAGAAGGGAGAAAGAAGAGGCAAATAAAGAAAGAAAACACAATCAAAGAGGGATCACTGTTACTCGAGATTTCTTAGATTTGATGAAAATTTTCTTCCTCCACCAATGAAAACTGTTTTCTTTTGTCATTCTCCTAACTTCTATGGACCCACATTTTCTAATGACCTTGTTCTTTGATGATTTTTCTAGCTACTCAACCTCACTCTCTCCTTCCGGTATTAGTCGGTTGGTGGTAGGCCAGTTTTGAAAGTAACTATGAGACCGACGTATTGATTCAAGTTTAGTGACAGATATAGACTTTTCGTTCGGTGGAGTTTCACTTAAAATTTAGTAGAAATAATTTGTAAGTTAGCCATCTCAAAGTTCATAAATGAATTAAATTCTTAATTTAATATATCATAATTCTTCTTTATGAATTTTCATGTTATGAAAATAAAATTATAAATTACATAAAGTAAGAATAATTGAATTTTATTTCTGCTGGATTTTGAACTATCCTAAGAACAGGTTTAGATCGAGCATGGTCGAGTCATCTAGAGAGAGTTATGTGAGGAGCAAATACTTTGATGCTCAAGTGAATAAGCGCTCTCAAGACAAGGAATCATATCCCTGATACGAAATTATGCTCCTATTTATAGGGTGAAGTAGTGGGTCCCACTCGTAACTGTTATGTTAAATCGTTTCTTGAGTTTGTTACACTATTACAAATATTCGGGCACTTTACCTCAACACGTGGCCTTTGAGAAGACCAACGGTGGTTCTTCTAAGCTATCTGGTATAACCTTGGTTGAGTTAAATAGATCCGCCACTTAACTGTCTTCGAGGTGATGGGAGAAGATTGAGTAAGACAATCTTTCGTTGATGTCTACGTGAGAGGAGATATGGATTAAGAGTGGGAGCGGAAGAGGAGAAAGAGAAGGAGTCGTCATTATAATAAGGAAAAAAAATATTAGGTGGTTTTGGCCAACAACTATTTTTTTTAAGGGACACATTATCTTTTTTGTTTCTCAAGTTTAGGGGTAGGTATCTACTTGGTCATTCAAGTTTCAAGAACGACATTTTTAATATATGAGGCTGGTAAAATGATTCTAAGTGGTCCTAATATGTTTCAACCATTAGTTGACTAATTTAAGATGATGTGACAGTTAAAATACTGTAATGACTAATTTGTAAAATATATTATTTAAATAATATTTTTATGGTGATTGGATTATCTTCTTCCCTCCCTCCTTCTGTTTATGCAGGAATTTGCGCAATGGTTCTTGAGCTCGAACCCGGTCCAAACTCCGATCTGAAAGACGATGGGAATACCTGCACAGGAGGACAAAATCTCCGACGCTCAAGTCAGTAAGTAGTTCAGACTTAATATTAGGTTTGAGGAGAAAATCGATACCTGATGGTGAAATGAGGCCCTCTATTTATAGGTTTAGGTCCCAATAGGGGTCACGACATGCGGTTACCTTGGTCGGTTTTGAGGTCAGACATGTCAGGTTCTAGTAGATCAAACTCGGATATTTTAGAGGTTGTAATGTGATCAGGAGTAATGAACTTCCCTCCTCGGAAGGTTCCGAGGAGGAGCTTTGCTAAACAGTTCTTCAAAACAACTTCTTGTATCAACCAATCTTTGTCCTCCACATGTCAATTAGATATTTTATCCCTGAACACCTTCCTCCTTCACTTCTCTAGTGAACTTCGCCGTCGCTCATTTGCTGCTCGCCTCCTCGAGTCGTCATTCACCTCTGCCAACTGTTGCTCGCATGTCGTCTCTCCTCTGTTTCAAGTATGGAATCTTCCAGATCTGAAAACTTTTCGAGGGAGAGGAAAAGACCTACACAAGATTCTTCTTCTTCTATGGAAAGTTTTCGGATTTGGAAGATTTCATATTTGAAATGTAAAGGAGGAGAAGATAAACTATCCACGATGTGTTATTTACTTTTTACCTTCTCGTCTCTATTTCTCATATGGACAATGGGTGAGCATCGATCGTCAACGAGGAGGGGGCAACGGATAAGTCAGTGAGGAGGTGGCTAGTGGCGAAGTTCACAGAAGAAGGGAGGAGGGAAGAAGAGGAGAATGAGAATAGAGGAGAAGATAATCCAAGTACCATAAAAATATTATTTAAATAATATATTTTACCATATCAGTCACTACAATTAGCAATTTAAGAGCCACATCATTAAAGTTAATCAACTAACAATCAAGGTTTTTAAGGAACATTTAAAACTATTTTATAAACCTCAATACTAAAAGTTCAAACTTCAAGAACTAATAGATACCTACGTCAAATTTCATAAATCAAAAGTATATTTTACTGTTGATGCTGAAATTTAGCCTCGTGGGATTTCACCAAATTCGCACYAATCTTCTAGAATAAAGGATCGATGAGACCTGCAAAATAAAATAACACTAAGACCAGTGTGACTCTTGCCACACGGGCTCCGATACTTAAGTTAGTATCAAAGTAATCGAGTGTAGAGAGTATGGTGTTTTGGCATACCTCCAGGGTTTGGCTCACCCCTTCCATTTATAGAAGTCAAATTCTAATTCTTTAAGGTTTACCCCAGTTGAATCCTCATACATCTAGGAAAACCAAATATTCGGAACCGCTCACTTCGTTATGGGATTTAGGTCGAATCGATAATTAAGGCGGGATGATTCAGGTGGGATTGCGAAACGATCGGGATGAACCGCTACAGTTCTCGACCAGGGATGATTCGGGTGGGATTGCGAAACGATCGGGATGAACTGCTACAATTCTCGGCCAGGGGGTCGAGAACTGCTCGACGCCGACCACTAGTAGGCCAGGGGCCGGGTAAGGTCGTCGGGTCCCAGCCCCCTTTCTTGGTTCGTGCTTTCTCTCGGGTTTCCTTTGACCCCATCACGTAGGTCTATTCTCCTTTTATCTTCCCATAACATTTACTATTTTCAAAATTAATAATCTCTATTTTCTTCTTTTGTCTTCTTGATGGGTCATCCAATCAGTTTTGCAAAATGTAAGATTGACATGGATTGAACCGTGGTCTAAATTGATTGATCAAGGTCAGTTGGGTCGGTTCTCGAAAATTAATGTGCATCCCTATCCGGGTGTAGAAGTAAAAAAAAAAAAGATTGGGGACTATCGAGAATCAATGTTTTAAATGTCGATGTCGATCGATATTTCTGTAAAAGTTAGAAAAAATAAAAAATCGTAAAAAATATTTAAATTTTTTTTGTTGAACAGGTAAAAAATATTTAAATTAATAAATAAATATTTTCCCATTTCTAAATGTTAAAAATAATTAATATTAATATTATATATATATATATATATAACATTTTATTGAATCGGAACAGTGGGGAGAATAGACCTTTGAAACTTTGTAGCAAATTTTCTTTTTTTCAAACTCTCTGTAATCTTCCTTTCTATAAAACGGGGTCGAATCCCAATCCCTCAACGTATACCTTTCACATCTTTTATTTTCTTCGTCCCCAAAAAAATCTCTCTCCCCGGCGGCTATTTCCATTCCCATTTTCCAGTTTTCTTTCGAGTTCTCAGCAATGGCGGACGGGGAAGTGAAGCTTTTGGATTTCTGGCCCAGCATGTTCGGGATGCGGGTTAGAATAGCGCTGGCCGAGAAGGGCGTCGCCTACGAGTACGTGGACGAAGATTTGGCCAATAAGAGCCCTCTGCTTCTGCAGATGAACCCCATTCACAAGAAGATCCCTGTTCTCGTCCATAATGGAAAACCCATCTGCGAATCCTCYATTATTGTCGAGTATATTGATGAAGTGTGGAACCATAAGGCGCCTATTTTGCCCTCCGATCCTTACGAGAGGGCTCAGGCCAGATTCTGGGTGGATTACATCGACAAGAAGGTTTGTTTTCTTTTTCCCCTGTTTCTCTTCCTCTCTCTCGCTATGTGTTTGATAAAATGTCTCAATGATGGTTAAATCACCGCTGAACCCAAATTTTGGTACTGAAAGTTTAATAGTTTTGTTCATATTCTTAACCCTCTCACTTGCCCACCATGTGAGTATCAATAACATTATTGGGGTAGAAGATGACTTTCCAAGGTTTGGACAATACAGGTTTTGARCATAAAACTTCATACCATGTAACACCTCCTCCGTTGTAGGACTCACTTCGAGCTTCTCCAAAATTAGCACAAGATTTAAACTTAATACTTTCCCTCGTATGTGGACTTGGAAATAACATCACAAGAATTTAAGCACAGAACTTTGTTTCAGCTCTGGTGGTCAAGGATCTACGGGGAAAAGATAAAAGAGATCTCAGAGTTGTTTACAAGATATATGGACTATTCCAATATGAACTTATTGGTTTGACATGAAGCCAATGAATATTAATATGGTATCAGAGGCCATAAACTTAAATGAGTATCTAGTTAAAAAACGAGACTCAGTCAAGTTTGACCAACCACCGTCCCTCCCTCGTCAAGGATTCCACGTCAAAAAAAATTATTTGGAATTAACATATTGTTACATGGGCTACGCTTCTTATTCTCAATTATCAATTAATTTTGAGATGGAACTTCATGTCGTATGATGTTAAATCATCCTTGAATTCAGTTTGAATTTAATCTTTTGATTCATAGTCTTAACGAACAAGACCAATTATTATGAAAAAAAAATGCAGCTCTATGAGCCTACGAGGAAGATATGGGGCTCCAAGGGAGAGGAGCAAGAAGCAGGGAAGAAGGAGTTCATAGGAATTTTGAAGCAAATGGAGGAAGTTCTCGGGGAGAAAGCCTACTTTGGAGGTGAGCGTTTGGGATTTGTGGACATTTCTCTGATTGGATTCTGCACATGGTTTGATGTCTATGAATCCTTTGGGAACTTCAGCATTGAGGCTGAGTGTCCCAAGCTAATGGGTTGGGTTAAGAGATGCCTGCAAAATGAGAGTGTTTCAAAGACCCTGCCTGATCCCAAGAAGGTCCATGACTTTGTGCTTCAATGGAAGAAAAAATTAGGCCTCTAAAAAAACAAACTGCTGCACCTTTTTTCTATTCTGTTCCTTAGTCTGGAAGTGGAAGGATTTGTGATCTGATCATAATCCATGTATTTTATTTCTAGTGTTAAGTATGTTTGTAGCATGGGGTTGTGTTTTTTTCTGTTTGGATGCTGGGAAAAAGGTTCAGTTTGCACACTTTGATGTGTCTGTACCAATGTATGGGTGATTGAATAAATGGCCATGGTGTTGATTTCTAGACAAAAGTGTTGACTTTTTGCTTTCAAATTTTGGAGATTTATCATTCTTTCATTTTGAAAGAAGCAGCCAATGTCGAGCTTTAATATAGAACTTTTCAGCTGCCTACATGTATAATTTCTCCAACTTCCAACTTTGACTAGCTCTTTGTTGCTGGCTGATATATTTCCGATCTAAAGATAGTGTGTTTGGCCTCCAAAAAGATTTATGCCTTTTATTTTATTTTTATATAGTTATATACAAATCATTTAAGTTTAATCCATCATAATTAAACTCAAAGTTGTAAACAATCACTTCTTAAATTTTTATTTGATGGAATTTATTAAAACTAGTTATCTCCAAATTATTTAATGATACATTATTATTAATGATGAATTTATCAATTTATATTAAATAATTTAATTTTTTGTAATTATCAATTTATATTAAATAATTAATTTTTTTGTAAGTATTATAATAAAACAATTCTAATTATACATGAACTTTTAAAACAAAAATAGTAAAGAGAGTGTAAAACAAAATAGTAAGAGAGAGAGGATATTTATATAGGGGTAGACATTAAAAAAAGTTATATAACTATTAAAATTCCAAATGCCAAAACCTTTGAAATTCTTCTATAAGGTCAAGTCACAAGATTTTTAATTAATTTTAAAAAGAAATTAACAAAATTTTGTTAAATTAATTTTTCAAATTATTGTCATTTTTTGTAGTATAGGAAGTGGGGGAGGGGTACGAACTCATGACCTCTTGGTCAAAGATGAGTGCCTACGGCTTAGCTAAGTTCATATTAGCTCAAATTAGTCAATCTTTTCCTATTCTAATCATACATGTATATTTGAGAAAATTAATAGGTTAAAATTATTATTATTCGATCATTCAAAATAAATATATTTTTAATAAAATTTAACTATTTAATCTAGCAATATTTATGTTGGTACCTTTTTCTTTTGCCAATTTTTTTAGTTTAATATATATATTTTATTTATTTTTTTAGTACAACATGCGGGGATGACAATTATTGCTGAACTATGTTAGCATTGGTTACCTGTTTTTTACTTTTATTATTACGTGTAAAAAAAAACTTGGCTCCTCACTAGTAAGGAGGAATCTTGTCCACACCACCATTTAATATTTGACAACTAAGAGAGAGAAATGCAAAAACAAACAAAATGTGTTTTTAAAAAATGATGAATTGTCAAATATTAAATGGTGGTGTAGACAAGATTCCTCCCTTCCTAGTGAGGAGGCAAGTGTTTTTTTTTTCTCTGACAATATAAATATACGTGAAATATATAACACAAATATAATTTTACTTTTTGTGGACGTGGACACGTCAATCACATCCAAATTTGGCCACAAACTTTTATTTAGGCAGTGGTGGACTCTATCCACTCCACCGATAGAGAGTAAAAATAAAAAGATAAAAACATTATAAAAAAATAATGAACTTTAGAGAATGACAAAATATTGAGAGATTTTTATTATTATTATTATTATTATTTTCTGGAACTAGAGGGTGAAATTGAATACGGTGGAAGTTGAATAAAAGTTAAATTTGTAATAATTATTCCAACTAGTTAGTCGGTGCTAAAAATTAATCTGGCCAGAGCTAAGAGGACATTTGAGTTTTTCCAGAAAGGGAAAAAAATAATTTGTCATGTGATCATTACAAAATTTTTTAACATAAACTTTATGCTATGTAAGCATGTTAGCATCATTAAAAGTATAAATTTAATTAAAAATATGATTATTATTATTATTTTTTTTTGTTATTATAGCCGAGAAAAAGTTTAATGATAGATTTTGTTGGCATCTAATGCATAGATTGACGATGGGAGGACTAGTCTATGTATACTATAAACATTTGTTAGCTTCTTTACCTTTTCAATGTGAGATTGTGGACGTTTGGCTTACGGATGCTGTTAAATTGCTGACTCGCATCGCCATTATCCACAATCTCACATTGTTAGCTAGTAAGCTTCTTTACCTTTTCAGTAGTCTGGATTTGTTAAGCGTTGATTTATGTTGGGGTGTTATGTAGCCTGGATTTGGGAAGTCTCGTGTGCATGATTGGGTCGGTTTGGTCATTGAAGTCTGAAAATGAACACTACTTTAGTCTTAAAGTTTAGAAAATGATTCTAAATAGTCCGTGAGGTCGTTTGACTAATAAACGAAAAAGTGATGTGGTAGTTAAATTGGTGACACACGCCTCGATTGTCCATGCGCTGCCTTTCTCCCCTACAACCTTCCTCTCGTTGCTGATGCCTGTCTCAACTTTCAAGCTTCTATTTTCCAGTTGTGTTTCAAAATGGCGGATGGAGAAGTGAAACTGCTGGATTTTTGGCCATCATGTTTGGGATGCGAGTTAGAATAGCCCTGGCTGAGAAGGGCATAGCCTACGAGTACGTGGAGCAAGACGTGTTAGCTTGTTTATGACTAGTGGCCCCACCCTTGGGTGAATTTCTTGGTCTCATTAGGGTTAGGTTACTTAGTCATATGGATTTGGTCGAGCCACACTGCTTGTGATTGGCCTGACCTTCCACAAGTATTTTGCATAATCAATTTAGGATTCATTGCATCTTAGGATGTTGGCATAGTGGTAAGATATTAGGGAGTAAATTTACACAACTCAAGTTTGAGTCTCTACTTGTCTTGAAATTTAGGATTCGTTTGGTTGGCCTATTGATCTTGGTACTTGGGAGTTAAGGTGGGGTTAAATTTTAACTATTATATGTGATTTTTTTCAATTTGAGCGAGCCCTCACTTTTTTGCTCCACCCTTGGTGGCCAGCTAAATGATCAAGTGGTTATGGGTTAGAAAGAGAGGTCTTGTTTTTGTATGTGTGGAGAATACTCTAGTACGAGTGAGAGTGATTTGCATGTTAGAGCAAGGTCTTACCTAGCTGGCCTCAGAGAGAAAGTATATACGAGCAGACCCTCTATTCGATCGACAGTTTTGCAAGTTGGTTGAGATCAAATCAAGTGACGATAGTAAACTAATTGACTTAGGTGAGATGATTAGTTAAGTGCATGATAAAATAATGTAGACCAAATCAGAAGGATGAAAAGGTTTACGGGTTAAATCAATCATGTCCAGATGGTTGCAAAATAAATCATTATTAAGAATTAAGAATTAAAATTAAATATAACTTCTTAATCCAGAAAATTCTTCTGGACATTATGATTTTCAAAAACAGTATCTTCACTAATTAGATATATATATATATATATATAGATCTATTATTAATAAAAAAGAAATATAAATTAATAAGATATAAGAATTTAAAAAATTATAAACAATAGGGAACATCCTTAATTTAGTAGTATGAGGTAAGCAGTGACTTGTTTCTTCTTTATACACTGCAAAGAATTTTGACTCTTCTCATTTTTTGTTTCTTTCGTAAATGTCTCAAATTAATAATTTAGTAGTACTATTATGTTATTATGATGTCAGCGGTGACATCATCGTATTATTTCTGTGGGACTCGTAATTTCTGGAGATCTAAAATTGTTTGTCTTGTCCTTAATTTCGAAGAAACATCTAGCATCACGTGGAAATCTTTTATACATATATATATATATATATATATATATATATATATATATATATATTTTTTTTTTTTAAATATACCAGCCCTTTCAAAGTTTTGTAAACAAAAAAATTATTTTGTGATTATTTAAATTTTAGACGGACTTTTCTTTTCTTTTAAGACTTAACAAAATAATATATATCAAGGCTTTTAAATTTTTGTAATGTAAAATTGTGTTGTGAACCATTGCTGGTTCTATTATTTAAAGTCATAAATGTTATAATTGTCTTATTTGATTGAATACACTCGAATATATACGAATATGAATATGATGATAAGAAATAATATGTGACTGCTAATTGGTTGGCATCTAATGTGATGTGCCGTAAGCATCACATTTAATAAAGACAGTTTTGTAATAACGTATTGGTAACTATGTTATAATAGTTGATTTAAGTGTAATTTAAAAATAAGATATTAATTTTTTTTTCCCTTTTAGGGGAGGTTCAATTCCCAATAACATTAATAAAAGATAAAAAAGAATTAATATGTCATCACCCTTTATTGAATATCAATTTGAGTCGCCTTTTGGTCTCTTCCAGCAACTTTTTTTACTTTCCCTATTTTTTATTTCAATTTATTTTCATTTCTGTATTTTTAAAATATTTTTTCTTTGAATTTTATGAGTTTAATAGATCGGTAATTTATTAAATAATTCACAAATCTATAAAATACAAAATTAAAAGGTAAGAGTGCTCCTAATAGATGCAAAATTCAATCTTGTGTCTAAATTTTTTAAAAATGAGACGAAAGTGAAAGTTACGCGATATTTCAAAATTCACGAAACGAAAATTTAGAAACTTATTAGACACTTTTTAAAGTTGATTATAAATACAACCAAATGGTTAAATTTAATTTGATCATTTTAATAGTCATTTTGTCAATAGTGTAGATACAATATTTGGTCTTGTTAAAAAAAATTATTATTATTGATTTCTTATTATATTATGTTTATTGATTTAGTTTAAAATAACATAATTTACTTTATTATAAGTTTTAAGTTAAAGTTTTAATTAAATAAAATTAAGTTTTAAAATTAGATTTTGTTTGAAAATAATTAATTTTATTAGGATTTTATTTAATTGGTTA